AAGAAAACGGAAAAAAGAGTTAGGGGTAGAAATTGAAATGAGGTAGGGGGTTAGAAGGTAGATAATCAGACTGATAATGTGATGGATAATTTTATTACTCAAATCAGTATGGTAAAGGATATTTTTGGAGTAACTAATCAAATCAAGTTAGTAATAACTGTAAATTGATAAAAAAAAAATTACAGCGATACTACAATCAACAGTTTTTATGCCAATCTGATTTAGTTTATTTGCGGCGTCTGATTGTGAATGAGCAAGCTTTCTTTTATATAGACGATTTGCTATTGGTCCTTGTTAAGATTTTAAAATAATCTGAATGGGCGACTAGTAGACACTCACTCAGGGCGTGCTCCAATACTTGACTTATTCAACATCCTGAAATGTACGTGTTTGTTCACTCGTATCGGCAGCTTTCTCGTATTATGTTTGTTACCTTAACTGATCACAACAACTACAAGGAAACTGATAAACTACCTTTGATGTTTGTAATGAAATACGATTACTATATAAGAAGAAATGCTGCAGATACGATTTGACACATCTTAGTTCTACAATATAGCTTGCGTAGCTGTTCTGTGTTAACCGTCCGTAAGTTTGAACTGCCAGACTAGAGGGGAGGAAGTCAGTCAACATCCACCCACCCCTCCAACGTTTATGCTGCTTTTTTCTGACTGAATATTGTGATTTGACTACCACCCTTATAATACATTGAACTAAGATCTTGACAAAGTTTTCTTTAAACAAAGAAAAAGATTAGATAAAGAATGAGTTAATCTATAAGAAATACCTACACCATCGATCTGATCTTAAAGAGTACTATTAAACAAAAAATATTTCTTTACTTGAAACTTCATCAACTTCAAAAAGACAGATTTTTGAATATATAACTCATTTGAATTGTTATTAAATATTAAATCTGCACTTAGCTATATTGTATTTTTTGTCGAAAGATTTGTTAGTATATAAGGAAACAATATCAAAATTAGAACAATGAACCTTATTAGAAAACTTTAGATTTTGTATTTCAGTAGAAAGTTGAGAACTCTCTTTCAACGTAGTATAATTATTCTATAATTATTTATAAAACAAACAATCTACCAATGCATTACTTGAACTTTCAATATTTACAGCTATATAGATGTATCAGTGAGCATCCTTTATTTGATATTTTGATAAAGCCATAAAAAATCACCTGAGTGACTTTTCTTTTACAAGAAGATTTATCAGTCACAAGCAGAGTCTGCAAGTTAACCAGGTCTTATCAACATATAAGTTGGTTTTATTATTATAATTGAATATTCTCGTTTAATTTCGATAATTTACTGGTTTAATTAGACAAATATATCTCACCTGAGAACAGACAAAATCTAGTATATTGTCCCTTATGGCTATTATGTATAAGACTGTTGGAGGTTTTAATATTTTGTTTTATATATTTTTATCTGTCTTCTATGTGGAAGTGAAAGTTTTAGCTTAGCTTTCTACGTTTTATATTTGTCTTCTTTGTGGAGGTTTTAGTTCTTTAGATCACTACGTTTTTTGTATTTGTCTCCTCGATGGAAGTGGATGTTTTAGTCTGCGTAGTGATCTATTTTTTGTATTTGTCTCCTCGATGGAAGTGGATGTTTTAGTCTGTAGATCACTACGTTTTTTGTATTTGTCTCCTCGATGGAAGTGGATGTTTTAGTCTTTAGATCACTACGTTTTTTGTATTTGTCTCCTCGGTGGAAGTGGAGGTTTTAGTCTTTAGATCAATACGTTTTTTGTATTTGTCTCCTCGGTGGAAGTGGATGTTTTAGTCTTTAGATCACTACGTTTTTTGTATTTGTCTCCTCGGTGGAAGTGGAGGTTTTAGTCTTTAGATCACTACGTTTTTTGTATTTGTCTCCTCGGTGGAAGTGGAGGTTTTAGTCTTTAGATCACTACGTTTTTTGTATTTGTCTCCTCGATGGAGGTGGATGTTTTAGTCTTTAATGTTCCACGTTTCGTATTTATCTTCTAAATGGACACGGAGATAGTTGACTTTAGTTTTCTATGTTTTGTATTTGTTTTTTCTGTAGTTTTAAATCAAATTTCATTATGATTCTTGGATATCCCAAAGGCTCAGCGATATGTCCGAGGGCTTATAACTTCAAAAACTGTGTTTTGGGCACAGCGTAAGTAGACCATTGTTGCGCTTAGCAACATAAACACAAACGTTATGATGCTCGTATTAGTCTTGTTTTCTTTCTTACGGTGTGTTCTATAAGTAGAAAAAATAGAGTTTTCCTTACACATTTTGGTTAAATTATGTATAGCTTTTCTGTAGAAGCCTTGCAGTAAAAGAATAACATTTCATAATGATGGTTAACTTCATAATACGTGGTTAATAGTTTTTGTATTGTTAAAATATATCATCTTCTTCAGATTCCAAGGAATGAGTCTATCGTTATAGTAAAATCTACTTTACTTCAGTTTAGAAATGCAGAAACATAGTATCTTCAATATCCTAAAAATAAGCAGCATGTAAATGCTTTGAACGCATGTAAATAATAAAAGTTACTACCAAAATGTTAAAATTTTATGGTTTAATTCTAATTAATATTATAAGTTTAAAAAAACGGCTCTATTGTAATACTGTCATGCCCGAAGTACACCACTTCTCTCTGCACGCTTTCTATAATATACTTAGTGTGGGAGAATCACGGTTTCGACAGTATGATCGTACAAAAATCCATAGGAGACTTGACCAGAATGTCTTCGAATGAAGTAGCATGAATACCCGTTTCATTCTCCAGCTGCTTAGGAAATGCGATGGTTGAACTTGAAATATGACTGGAAGCCTTATCTTGGTGAATCCATCCATATCCTGTTGGCCTCGTATTCTTTTTGATTGTGTTGCGTACGGAGTTTTGCTACTGGCCTTTGTGTTCGTCGATTCTCACTTGTTACAAGACGCCGCACTCTGTTTACCAAGGCTGGGGTAGAACTGGATACAGGTGTCCTTCTGTAGATTCCTGGTTCCCGAAATTGTTTAATGTTTACTCGTTTTCCAATGACATTAAGTACAAGGGACATTCCGATCTTAGAAATTCTGATTCCACGATCTGAACACATCTTTATGATCTGTATGTATGAATATTTTGAGTAGTAAACGGTTATAACATACAGTTCCCAAAAACGACATTTTGTTCGGTAACATCACATTATTTAGGAAATGTCGAACAATACCAAAATGTATAAAAATAAAATCAGTAACAACGTTTAAAATAAACAATAAAAACGTTACTTGGCCGACGGCCATCATTAAAAGACGACATGTTTCGGTAGCTTTACGCTGTCATCGTCAGGAGTAAAAACATAGATGACAATTTGGCAGCTTTATAGCGAAAGGTTTGTGAACTTTAAGGGTTATATGAATATTATAAGTAAGAAATGAATATTATTTTCCAAAGCTGTGTGTTAGCACCAGCTAAACCTTCATCTTTATTTGGCAAAGAATTATTGAATTTACGGCACAAAATTTCTACTGGTTCTCCAATATCCAATTCACTTTAAATATTAGGTTAATTTATAATAATTGTTTCATGACATTATATCGAATGACCTGTTTCGACAGTGTTCAGTACGCGGAGGAAGTTACATCTTGATACTACATATGTATTTTTTTATGTTCATTAAGACGATCTTTGAAACTACGTTTAGTTTGACCAGTATATTTTTATAGTATTTGCACCTTAGTTCATATATATCTTTTTTGTACATAAAATATCTTTTTTATCTTTAGTATTAGGAAGTATCGTTTTAATTTTGTTACTTGGTTTGAAAATAAGATTAAAATCATGTTTCTGAACACATTGGCAAGTTGGCTAGTTCACAGTTTCCCAAACTTTTTTGGCCACGGAACACTTTTCAGCTGAAGAAAAGCTTACAGAACACTAGACACACGAAATATCGGTGAAGAGGGTATTTTGCGCCCTCTACATTTGTATATTATTCATTTATTTATTTAATCAAATTACATATTAATTAATTTTTACATTTATATGCTTATAATATATTTTAGATACAAACCTCTCCACTAAGATATTATGTAGAATAGATATGGCATCTTCTATAATTCTTCTTCAATGTAAAATCGATATTATTTAATTCTAATACATAGGAAATATTTCATAATAAGTTATGATCGTACCAAAAGTGTTAAATATTTTATTAAACTTTAAAATCATGATTTTCTCACGGAGCACCTATCAATCTCGGACGGAACATAGTTTGGAAACGCTGAGCTAGTTACACCTTGTATATATAATAAATTTTGTTTTTCAAATTAATTATATCAAAACAACTTCTTATAGCTCCGTCTACGGAAGTATAAGAAGCTGCTAGTTTTGGGGAGAAAATGGGTGACATGATTTTTCAGTCGATTTATTTGTTTTTATTAATAACAACGGTTTAGGGATAGTCCACAGTCTTACAAACCATTATATGTTTGAAAGTACGTGGATGAAATTTTACTCAGTTATTGAAGTATTTCA